CACTTGATTCAATCAGCACCAGGACAGAGCCGATTACAGCCGCCGAAAAAGTACGCCAAGTCCAGCTCAGCTGAACACGCGATATCGGCATAGCGATGGGTCGATCATAGGAACAAGGATGCATAGGAATAGGAACACCTGCGTTGTCTGTTAGTTTGTGGGTTGAAGGGAACTCGTGGCCTGTTGGCCGAACTTTCGATCCTCACACCACTCGGGGAGGCAGCATTGTTGTTGCCAGATTGGAAACTAGAGAGTAGATCGAACCCACGCAGACAATGCATAAATGTGATTGCCGATGCATAGAGGACGGACCGCGCACTCGGTCGTGCTCATTGCTGTCTCTCAGTTGTCGCGCCAAGACATTCGACCGATCCATGGATCGACGAGATTTCCTGCAATATACAAGTAAATGCAGGAACTGAACGAATGCACAATTGCGATCCTGTATTCCTTGTGACTGACTATCGAGGCCACTGTCGACGGACGGGCTCAAGCAGACTTTAAGCCGTGGTGACGGGTGTTTTGCGCTCAGGGACGCCAGCGATGTATTCGCTCTATCGTAGCCGTCGCGTCTCTGCCTCATAGGTTGAACAGCCAAGTGTTTCACGAAGCGCGCTTCTGACGCAATGGTGTCCGTCGAAGTGGCTAAACCACAGCTGCATACAAGATACATAGCATTTCACACCAATCCATCCTAGTTGTGTACACAAAGGTATGCAAGCGCCTCCGTGACGCAGTGTCGGCTCCGGCGTGGCCCGTCATGCTGGCCCGGTAGCTCATGGCAGCCTGGCGATGTTGGACGGGCAACGCGAGACCTTGATGTAGTTGCCGCCGGCTTGGACAACTCCACTCAAAGCGCCAAGGACGTCCGCGTCGAGCACATTCAAGGCAACCTTGACAACCGAGCCAGCAACTTTAATACTCGACGTGGAGCAGGTTATAGCTGACGACGTGCAAAAGAGGCCACAATGGAACGGAGTAGCGCCATTGCATTTCGGCACGCAAAAAAGACCAGCGCCGATAAGAGTGCCGGAGCAGGGAGGGTAGCACAACGCACCACTCTGTTCCTTGCCAGCGGGGCATCCCAAGCGAGACACACCGACACCGACACTGTACCAGTCCTTGCGGCAGAACGCGCCATCGTCAATCGTACCAGCAGGGCAATCCGGCGAGCAAATGCAGCAGCCGACAGGGTGGAAACTAGACCTGCACTGGGGGTACCATATCAAGCCATATTTCTCGCACGTGCCGCCGTTCTCCTTCTTGCACTTGTCTTCTTGCCACAAGGCGTAGCCGGCGCCGCGGCCGTACGCGGCGGGCTTTGTGCACGACACGCCAATATCCGTGACGCCCTCGACGCCGCTGCAGCCCTTCTTGCGGCAGATGCAGCACCCGACCTTCTCGTACCCTTCCTTGCACCTCGGGTAGCACAGGGCCCCGTACGCTTCTTCGTCCTCCTTGCACTGGATTTCGAAAACAGTGCCCACGCCGCGCCCTTCGCCCGAGCGACGGCAGACCATTCGGTTCGTGTCAAACGGGGCCAGCGCTTCTTGCAACGCCGTTAGGATCGCGTCCAAGACAAGGATGCTATCTCTCAGCGATATGCCATTCTTCGCAATGATTTGGATCGTACGGACAAGGTTGGCAGCGTCCTTGACGAACAAGGTGCCAGCCGTGATGAGCGGTTGAATTTCCAATACCAATCCCGGCAAGCTAAAGATGTTGACTCCCTCACTTTGGATCCTTTGGAGCACATTGACCAATTTGAGCGTCGTCTCGACGTCCTTGCTGGCATTTTGAATGACTTTTTGTAGGTCGCTGATGAGATCTGCAACCGTTGTAAGTTTCATTCCGCCTTGGAAGACCTTCATGATGTCAGCGACCGCTTGGGGACCAGCAATATGCCCACGGGCGACGATGTCCTTGATATCTTTCAACAGGTCCTTGCCGTCCTTTACGCGGAGATCGTCACGTTGGATAGCGATTTTGATGGCCGCGACGAATTGCTGGCCGTTTGTGCGGTTGAGGCCCATCATGGCGATGTTTCGAATCTGATCGACCAAGCTCATGATCGTCTGGAAGTCTTGCATTCCTTTGTGCACAAGCTTCTCAAAGTCTTGGACGATGGCGACGAGGTTCGTGGCATCGGCAGATTCGACGGCGGCTGACTCAGCAGGGGCTGACACAACGAGGCCATGGTCAATCTCGACTAACCCGGTAGGGACGGGCTCGTCTAGGGCGGCAACGTTGGCGACAGCGGCAAGGACGAGCGCGCTGACCAAAGTGA